TCCCCGCTCAGCATTGGCCATTGCTCCACTGCTAAATTGGTTTCTCCTTTTCTACACTTTTCTACTCTATTCTTTTGACGTCACGTTATTGTCAAACAGTTTCTTGGAAGACTCCAGAAACTCTTCCTCTCTCTATATATAGAGGAAGAGATTGCATGTATGTAGTCTTCACGCACTTCTTAATTGAATATTCGAAACCACACCTTTGAGCTATTCGAGGTCTGGCCTCTCACACCCTTGATGAGTACAACCTTCGCCGGCATCCATTTACTAATATCCATACTGCAGAATCTAAAGCAATCGATTATATCCGTCCTAAAATAAGTGGAAATGTCGCAAGTGAGCAAGCGACAGAGGGGTGTGTATGTATGTATACGTGTGTCCTCGTTCCTGAAATTCCGTCGGATCCTAAGCATGTTTGTCCTATGGTTCCTTCTCTTTTGAAGAATAGGTTCATACTTCGGGGTCAAATAGATAAAAGCCGAAGCCTTTTCCGTCCGAATATCGTACCTGACGAGTGCGAGATAAGTTTGAATGGGGGGTTCTTTTGTAAGGTATCTGCTGGCTCGGTTCGTAGTATAAGAGCAGATTTTGTCTTAAAAGAGGAGTGTAATTCTTAATGCTATAGCGAAGTCGACATCTATGTTCTAGAGATAGCTTCAAGATTAGGGAGCTTAGTAGCGACAATATTTAAATGTTTTAAGGGGGTTTGCTAGTGCCTTTAATTCCAAGGCTAGGCGAATCGACCAAATTTCGTCCGAAGCGGACAAGATGTGCGTAGATCCTAGTATTACTACAAAATGTTAAAGACGAGGGTATAGTATAGAATAGATAAGCTGACTAGAGTGAGAAGCTAGCTTGGGGGAGTAGGGAGTCTTTATAAGACGAGATTAACGGAGTAGAAGGCTCTAGAGTACTAGGTATCTACCTAGGCTAACGAGAGAGGGGCAGCAGAGACAAGAGTGTAGGGCTCTCGTGTCGTAATAACAACGCCCTCTTCGTCCTAGGTATACGTGAAGGTAATACGATCGAATGGCCCTAAATAGGCATAATCCGATGCGAAATACGAATGTTCTTCCTAACCCAAATCTTTGTCCGCTAAAGAGGAGGCCCTTAATGAGCACAACATTTCCCGGTATCCAAATGCAAGTCTAAATGCAAGTCCAAAGAGTGTCCAGACCGGTTCTATCACGTTCCAGCATCCATACATAAGTATCGATACTATTCCCAAGTAATGTAATGTATCCTGTCACGAACAAATCAAAAATGGGTACGTTAAGTAATATGAAAGGTACGTGCGCTAAGCGATGTGTATGGTAACAAATGAGAAGTGTCGGTTCCAAAAAAAAGTAATATGTCGCTTAGCGACAGAAAGGAGGTTCCAGTAGTATATTCTAACCTTCGAACTTGCTTCCAGACAAGTACTAAGCACCTGTCTGCTGTAATCTATGCCTTTTAGATATCTTATTTCCCTGGCGAGGTCCGTTTGTGGAGGCTTGTCATTTTAAAGTGACGCGAGTAGTGTCGGCTCGGTTCGTGAAAAGGGGTGCGTTTAGATATAACGTGAGATATCTTAGGATCGCGGCATAGGATCAAGGTTCTACAAGGGGGCAAGGTAGATTCTTGTCGAGTTCCGAAGTATAATCCGTCGGGATCGAAAGGGTATAAGCTGCTCCCGTATGTATAGACTTTTACCGAGGAGCGTTTATTGAAAGAGCATTTAGTTTCACTAGCATTAAATCCTAAAATAATTGAATTTCAAACATATTACCTATACGTCGTTAGATACCCCCCTTATTTATCCCCTGAAGCTAGTCATAATACTACCTTACAGGCTGCTCGGACTGACCAGTAATAGCAACCCCTACTTATATAAATACTTAAGTCTTAATTATAACCTCTTAATTAAGCCCCTCAAGAATTACGAAAGAGAGTTGCAAAAGAGCCTCAAAACCTCGCATTTGCGCCTTATAGACTACTAGTACACGTACCCTTAGACTGCCGATACAGATGGTATAACAATTTCCAGACTACCGGTATAAGCAAAATTACTTGGATTGGCCGTGCAAAAGATCCCTGTATACGAGTAGGAGATGCTTTATATTACGTGAGGATGAACGAACGACCGACATATACTAGCGGCGGGGACAGGAATGATTAACAACTTCATATTTCCTGCCTAAGAGCAGGAAGCATACGCCAGAGCCCTAGGGCTCTCTTTTTCTCGCCCACTACTATCCCTATTTGTACACCACTGTTCATATGTATACTTTTGTAGCCAACATCTTTGTTTCTAAATAGGAATAGAAACAGCGTGTGAGGGTTGGAACCCATGATGGAGGCTCGGGCCATGCCCTCGCTAAGCACCGACCAAAGTCCTCGTTAAGCACTGAGCAAAGTCCCTGCTTAGCACTGGCCATTACCCCACTGCCAAACAGGTTTCTACTTTTCCACACTTTCTTGTTTTGTTCTTCTGACATCATGTATTCGTCATTCAAGTTTCTTGCAAGTTTCTTGGAATATTCAGGAAGCTCTTCCTCTCTATATATAGAGGAAGAGCTCGCATGTATGTAGTCTTCACGCACTTCTTATTTGAATATTCGAAACCACACCTTTGAGCTATTCGAGGTCTGGCCTCTCACATGTATATAACGTTTACCACGTGGTAGCTCTGCATGTAAGGACGGATACGCTCTCAACCACTATTCAAGCTTCCAATGCTCTAATGAAAATGAAATCTCCGAGGAACAATTAGACTATCTAGTCTCCTAATAGAGATAAATAGTAGTAGGAAATACATTTCTAAACTATCTACTACTACCTTATTGTTCTACAAGTAGGTGTCTCGAGTAATTCTTTTGCATAATGAGAACACTTAAACTAAAAGCTCTCATTCAATTATAATTGTTATGGCGGGGGACCTCGCCAGGAGTGAGAGAGCGAGTCATGTGATCGACTCCTACAGAGCACGTGATGTCGTGAAGATGTGTGGTCTATGCGGAGGACTTGATCGCGTCTCCACCACGTAGCTTAACACAGCCTTTCCCCCTCCTTTTGACGACGTCAATGTGCTGCACAACCCCTCAATTGATGTCTATGGGGCATCTCATACTAGATTATATTCCAAGCATACCGCTTAATATCGCGTGGAATCCTCTAAGGACCATTGTCGCAATTCAGTTCCATCTCGAGAATCGCGATCTTTAACGACCTATTGTTTCCCCCCATTGCGTCTGCGCTTGATCAAATACGTCCATGGATGGGAAAGATGGAATATTATCGAGCAATTGGATTGGATAGGCGACAGCAGAATGCGCCTGCAAGATTTGCGGTTCATGAAGACTCGGACAAAGAAAATCGAGCCGCCAGACTTTTAGGGAAAGCCGACGATGAGACAGACAGACCGCGATTCCGGTACTTATTACCCATACCGAGCAAGGGCGCAAGCGGCAGTGGTTGGACGGGTAGCCGTCATGTCATGGGGGAATAACGGAATGGCCTGTCAAGTAGCCACATGAAAAAACGGCAATCGTTGGTTGGAGATACAATTGTTGTGGAAGGCCCTAGGAGATCGAAGTCCCCATATATAGCTGACAACATTCAAGAATACACCTCTGATGGGATCGAGGAAGAATCTGAATACATCGAAGAAAAGACAGAGATGCTCGATGTCACAAACGAGCAAGATGAATCAGGGTACGAAGTCTACAACGAGGAAAGAATAGATAATAAAAAGGATATCCAAGGGAAGCACGATAGCGATTCGTTAAGTAAGTTGCTAGGCAACGCAGTATTGGTATTTCACTAATGTGTTCTTGAAGGACATGCTGAAGCTTATAGTCGGGTACGTGCTTTGTATTTTCCTTCTTTTATACACCAGCTAATTAGTGTTACTACAGATGATAAAGGGTGCTGCGCCCCCTATATCAACCTGCAATCCCCAAGATGAAGCCATCAGCAAAAAGCGCTCACGGGAGATTTACGAGAGTGGCACATCCAGCAGTAACATGCCTCTAAGTCCTCACAAGTACGTCAATTCTCCACCCCGACGGCCAGGAAAACGAACTTGTACGCCACCGTCTGGCGGTAGGAGGAAGTCAGCACCATCCAATCTTGAGAGAAGTCCTGTCAAATGTTACGAGAATATGATATTGAAGAAGGAACCCATTGCAAGTAATCTTCTGCAGCTGTATCTCTACAAAGCTAACACCATGGTAGCGTGCGTTCCCGGAACACATCGTTACTGGTGTGCAAAAACTCCGTGAGAAACATGAGGGGAGTATTTTTGAGCTAGGGGATACCTCTGTCAGATGTGTAGATTGCAATCAGACGTTTCAAATACCGGCGAAGACAAAGAGTTTGGCTGGCCCAAATATTCATTGCAGGGCAGCACCACACAGGTTGGCTGTCCAAAAACGAATCCTCCAGCAGGAAAGAGATGAATCGCCCCTACTAAAGACTTCATCGAAAGTAGCGGATTTTGATGTCTCCCCTCAGCCACCCGTTACAGCTTTGAACAGCCATGGATACGCCGGTTTTGCTAACCCTCTTGGCGATGTTTTTACAGCTCTTCAGAGATCTTCGACAGAAACCTACAATCAACACATGGCTGCGAAACAACGCCTGGACACTATCGAGAAGCAGCTGAATGCTCAAACTGGGCATTTCACAAGCATACTAGGTTTGTCGTATTCTTCTGAATCAAATATCAGGCATCAGCGAAAAAACAACGTAATACTGAATCGACACTGGACGCTGTCACTCAGAACCAAATCGAGGTCGAGACTCAATTGAGGAAGGAACAGGCCGATTTAGAAGAAAGAATGCAGCAGCTAAGCGACAGTACTATGGCAGAATTTCTTTCTTGGAAGATCGAAATGATAATAACAATACACAAGTGGAGAATAAGTTTGCGGCCTTAAAGGAAGATTCACAAAAGTCACAATCCGAAAACCATGATGAATTTGCAGCCCTGCCTGCTTCTATCATGGAGTCAACGGAGAAAAATAAACAGCAATTGTCCGTGATAAACAACGAGCTTGTGGCTGCGATCAGATACAACTCACAACAGATCCAAGAGACCCGTCACGATATCTCGCCTCTAAATAATCATATGAGCGAGCAGCTGCAACGAAATTTTAGTTTGGATGGCCAACTGAAACACCACTGGAGTTCTATATCAGCGCAAACACATTACAATAACGAAAATCACCCCAGATTTCTTGCCATTGAGGATCTTACGCGGCATCATCGCAACTACATCATTCAGTTACAAGAGGAGATAAAAAGACTTGGAACCCGTGCAGACAACCATGACTCAGCGTTCAAGCGCGGCCAGAGCGTCGAGATGGTTATTCGAGATGAGATCAAGAAACTGCGAGAATCTGACCACCAACTGCAAAGAAAAATTCAACCAACTATTCCATCCTTGCCACGACTACCACAGCAACGGCATGAAGAAAATGAAATCTCGTCAACCCAATCTTTTGTAGAGCAAGTTGGTGCCCAGTTGGCCACTCGATTCGATGCTAGACTAAAGTCAATGGAGGATACATTCGAAGCACGGCTCGCTACAGTGCAAAGCGAGAGCAATAAACAGATATCACTCCTCCAAGCACAGGCTACGAAGCAAATACAAGTAATGCAAGCACTAGAAAAAGAAAACTCAAAGCTGCGCTCGTGTATTCCAATCATCAACAAAGATATACAGGAAATGTCGGAATGCTTCAATGAAGTGATCCCAGACCTCGGCGAGAAAGTTGAATCACTAGAACACCAGCTTTCCACACTGGATTCTTTGCTCCCCGGGCCTACCCGGAACCACACCACCCAACAGCCTCTCGAAGACGAACCCCGACATCCTGTGCAAAAAGAAATGGATCTCGTAGAAGCAAGGTTTCAGCGTATCGAAACTGCGATTCCCGCACTTTTCGAGCAGATCTCGTACATAAGAGATTGTTTCGAAGAGTCAGCTGAAGAGGGTGACGACAGGGTTGAAGATCCTAATGACTATGACAATCTAGAGCCACGACTAAATAGGATCGAAGCCATACTTCCTGTTGTTATTCAGGAGGCAACAGAATTGAGGGCATGTGTTGATGATCTAGGGGAGATCCTTGGTTCCGAAAAGGATCCCAGAGCCAACGACGAGAGTGAAAATGAAAACGAGGATCTCTTAAAAGAAGAGGCGGAGTCGGATAGGGAGGAGGGGGTGGCGGATCATATCAAAGAAGAGGATTTCGATGGATGATTAGACGCTGTTATGATGCATCTTTTTCGGATTGGGTGTTTTTCTGTCTCCCTTGGGATGAGTGATACGTGCTTAATGTATTCTAGTCTTCCTAGGGTTGGGGATCTTTTTGTACATGGAGTTTGGAAGATACCAGGGTATTTTGAATAATGATTAGTTGGCGTCTATTAGCTGCGCGTATACTTCCTTTCAGTAATGTGAATCATGGATCTACACATGACGTGAATTCATGTATCCGACATTTAATATGTGTAATCGATCAAACTTAGACTTCGTGAATATTTCCGTGGGTAGGGTATATATATTTACCTGAAAATGCCTTGCGTATAAAAATAATAATAAGATGATCTCCTTCATCCTCTAAGGCTATAGACGCGGTACTATAGTATGAAATATAACTCATCGCTAGGATATATCGAGATACTATATACTAAATTAACAAGCTTCCAAACTATAACATTAATTATAATCCAGACATTATAACGTAGACCTATTCAAACCCCCATATTCCTACCATTCCCCTAACTGAGCTAACTCCCTCTCTATATATTATAACAAGATACCTAGACTAAGGACGTAAGAAAACAGGAAAACGGGATCCCTTCATTTCCTTATATATAAATTACCATAGATAAAGAGATATACATGTACTGTACCAGGAAAAGAAAAACTGACATACCACGTGATTATAGAATAGAGGGAAGAAGTAAAGATACAGTATACTATAGAGGGAAGATCTTATCTACAAGTATGGTAGCTAGTAAAAGGAGTGGATAGAATGGAAAAGTATATCGCATGTAATTCGATTCCTTGGATGATTGTACGATGGTGTACTGTACCATAGGTAAGGAAGTAAGCAAGAACCAAAATCAGAGGGCCTCCCCCTTCCCCCCTTCTCCCCCGAAAAAGCAAACTAATCTCCATATACCCCCCCTCCCTCTCCCCACACTCACCTCCTTTCCATAAAACCCAAGAAAGGTCTCAAAACAAATCTCTAATCCCGAATTCCAATTCCACTTCCACCCCTTCACCTTTCTATTTCACCTCAAGAAACCTTACATATACAGTTGTACGATAAAAACCAAACCTAACATTTAATATGACCCACCTACCTACCTCCCTCCCCTCAGCTAAGTACCACCATATACCCAAAACTCTACACAATACCATACAAACCTACCATAAACTAACCCCCCTATACTACACTACCTACCAACTCCCCTCCTCTCTTCCTTCTTCAAGAAACCTTCTCCAAGTAATCCCCATAGACACCACTCCCTCCTCCAAAAAAAAACTTAACCAACATACCTCCTACCTCCTCTCCTCATTTCTTCCCTAAACACCACCAGAAGAAACCCCCTAAACCCCCTCCGAACCCAGAGAAACTTCAAACTTCAATAAGATACAAAAATGGTACAAATAACATCTCTTATTCATTTATTCATTCATTCCACCAATCTACCAACTACTCCCTCCCTCTATCCCTCTCTCCCTCTCTCCCTCTCTCCCTCTCTCCCTCTCACCAATCCACCATCCCACCGATCCCTCCCACCATCTATCCACCAATCCATCTACAATAACTAAATATTTCCACTAACCCAACCCAACCTAACCTAACCTGTAATGTACCTACTCCTCTCGCCTGGCGGAGGCTAGTTCCCGCTTTTCCCTCTATTACCGCCATCTACAAATACAACCCACGACCTCACATCAACACCGCCATTCTTAACCAAATCTCAAAGTCTTAAACCCACAAGAAAAAAAGCCAAGAAAGCAGGAGGGACGAGAAGGGAAATTAAATAAATAAAAAAGGTTAAAGAGAGAATAACCCCCCCTATTTCGTCCCTACTCATAATATCCTACACCTTCCCTTCCCACCAAAGAACACAGACAAATGAAAGAAGGAGGAATTATCAAGCGAAAGATGATGAAGAAGAAAAAGAATAGAGTAGGCAAGTAAAGTAGGCAGGTAAGGGAGTAAACCATAAATATATATATCAGAACACAAAAAAAACCAGTCTCCGTCCCCCTCCCACAATCCCGATATCGAACCTGAACCCCCTTGCAAAAAAATCAAGAAACCAACATAATATCATCAAGCGTTCTGACTGAATCGCGAGGTGGTAGGCGAGCGTAAGCTACCACTACACCAGCAACTCATATCCCCATCCTTCTCAACCTGAACGACGACATCGACACCCTTGGACATAAGGAAAGCCCGAGTCCTCTCTCGGACATCTTCCAGATCTGAGCCTCTGGTGGCGGTGATGTGCATGACACCAAGAATGCCCTCGCTGTCGCCATTTTTGTCTCCTAGCCAGAATCTAGGAACTGAATAGCTGGCAACACCCCTTAAGTCACTCACGCCTGATATTGTTGCTCGTAGGTTGTATTCTACGCCATCCGGAACAGTAAGTAAGAGTTTCTTTGCGGTGGATCTTATCAGCGGTATTGAAGAGAGGAAAATAAGAATTGCGATGATGCAAGAAGCAATGGGGTCCCATCCCGACCATCCATGAAAGTAGATTAATGCAGTGGAAACCATCACAGCTGCGCTACCCATTGTATCTGCAAGCACGTGAAGGAAAATTCCGTGCATATTCTCATTGTCGTGAGAATGTCCGTGAGAATGCCCATGTGAATGTTCGTGAGAATGATTGTGGGAAGAGTGGTCATGAGCATGAGCTGGCTTCAACTCTGACATTAAAGGAGTGTGATGATCATGGCAGTCTTCCTGTTCATGGCCATGTTCATGACGATCGTGCGCATGATCGTGGTGGTGATGGTTATGGGCATCGTGGGAGTGTGCCTTTTCCTCTCCATGCGAATGTGAATGAGAATGGCCGTGGCTGTGGTCCCCATGATCGTGTCCATGATGATGATGCCCAAAACATGCCATTCCGACCAGATTAACGGCTAAACCCATTGCGCTGACCACAAACAGCTCTACCAGACGCTTCGTCTCTCGTCCTTCTGCCAGTCTCTCTGTTGCCTCGATCATGATTTCAACACTAATAAGCCTGCAATTCGGTCAGCACTTTTATTCCCAAGCAATGTGGTCACCCAAGACCTACAATAAGAACACTCCATTTCCAAATCCCGACAAACTTTCAATCTTTCCAAACCCATATGGAAATCGCTCACTTGGAGGCCATTTACTGGCCACGGCAGCGAATAGTCCAACTCCTAAAGCCAAGCAATCAAAAAACATGTGTATACTGTCACTCAATAGTCCCAAGGAATCCGTGATGTATCCATAGCATGCTTGTACCATCATAAACGCAAAATTTAAACTAAAATGTGTTAGTCAAAGCATTGACAACACCTTAAGATTTCCTCACCTCATAAAATAGAATATCCGCCTAGAATCCTTCTCTGCCATTATGGTATGTAAGAGGGGCCATCTGTGAATGTAAGGAAGTACCAAGCTTGTAAATCTAGATCGTGGATCTATCGCTTTCGCCGTACCGTGGGTATGTATATGAGAATCGTGGTGATCATGATCATGGTGATGGTGATCATGACTATGTGGCATCATGTTGACATTATTTGATGGGGGTTCGTAAGTGTTCGCTTGAGCAGGCGGGGAATATTCGAGTTTTCGTTTCTCCAGCGGACCGGAATGTGAAGAGGGGCCACTACTATCTGGTGGGGTTGGTAGAGATGGTATTCGATCATAATTGTGATTGTGATTGTGTGCAGAATTGTTTGGTTTCATGAGCTCATACTCATGGTTGTGATTCGCAGAGGATTCCGAGGAAGAATGCATGTGCGAATGTAAATTCCCATTCGATCTTTGCGTTTTAGGGTTGTTGGGGGAATTGGAGGGATATGATCGATTGGCAGAGGAAGACTGCGAATGGGAGTGTGAATGGGCATGCGAATGTAGATGTCCATGGCCATGATGGCTGTGGCTGGTCAATGTTGACGCGGGCAGCGCATACGAGGAAGCCATCTTGCTCGGCAAGAAGGATTTGTTGAGAACTCGCAGTCGGTCGAGCGATTACGCCCTCCTGGTAATAATCTCTACTTACTACTATACTCACATATATTCGAAAGGTAGAATTGACCTGCCAGAGCTGCGACTGCGTTGCGCCCAAAACTGTATCTTTGTGTGGGGATCAAAGGAGGGACTGGAGTCGGTAGTGGAGATGGCTGAGAGCAACACTGCTGGACCGATCTGTGCTTGTGGACGTGTTCAATTTCCCGCAAGTGATCTTTGAGTGTGTTTTTTCCCGTGTGCAATATCCAGAAAAAAGAGAGAGAAGATTGGTGAGCCGGAATGGGTTGGGAGAAAGACGAGATAGGAATTGAACGGTGGTGGGTTGCCGTGGTGTTGATAGAGCATTCAACTGTCTTGTCCAGGCTTGGCACTCCCCTGAGATGAGAGCCAACCAGAGCCAGCCAGAGCCAGTGGAAAATTGGGTGCCCTTTAACCAAGACAAGACGAGGCGTCCCCTCCTGGGTCCTTCCTGCCGCGGGGAATCCTCACTGGCGATTGTGACTCGTCCAAATGAGAAGCTGACAGGGGAGGCGAGCTTGTGATAGGCCCGCAAGTTGCCTATTTTAGTCTAGCTCATTTCCTGCAGCCGAGAACTAACCCCAAAAAGAGCGTCATATGCCGCAGTCAAAATGATTGTTCATGCAGGTTCAGCCGATCGGAGTCTGTGAGTCCTTCCAATCCAACCCCCGGGATTGGTATCGGAGTCGGCACCGTTATCGGTGATGCGGTCGGCGTCGGTGGAGGCTTTGGCTGCCGCGGGTGGCTGAGAAAATTGAGACGAGGCTGAGAGGCAAAGAGCATCGGCATACTTGAGTAGCATGGTGGGCATAGCTCCCTCGCTCCCTACGGTAATGACTCCATCCTCAAGTCTTATTCAGACGACGCTCTGCATGCTCGTATACTCCCTACTCCCTACCATCACCCGGAACCACTTATCGATACAAAACCGCCACGACCCACCATACAACTCTTGTCCGTCTCAACAAAAACATGCTACGATAGCATCACAACCATCCGTCGCCTTCCAGCGCACGTCGGACTCATGTTGGAACTTCTGCTGACGCTGGCCGTGGTGCTATCCACCATCGTGACGGGCATTCTCTTGATGTTGCCCTCGCGCTATATCAAGCATTCGCCGCCAAAAGACCGATTGCACAGCTCCGATGAGCCCAAAGTCTCCGTCCAAGTGCTAGTTCTCGGGGATATTGGGCGCAGTCCACGCATGCAATATCATGCCATGAGCATTACCCGACATGGCGGGAGAGTGGATTTGATAGGATATCAAGGTGCGAACTGCGAACCCCACGACTAACGAATTTGTGTGTATTTGACAGCAAACTGATCTCTTTCTCCTGCAGAATCCACCCCCCACCCTGGAGTAGTCCACAGCCCGAGCATTAATATCGTTCCCTTGACACGTCCACCTGCCATCCTTCAATCGAAGTCTCTTCCATTCCTCCTCGTCGGACCTTTGCGAGCGATATGGCAATTGCTTTCACTAGTTTACGTGCTGGGCTATGCTACCAAACCGGCAAGATGGCTTCTGGTTCAGAATCCACCTTCGATCCCGACCCTTTACATCGCTACCATAATATGTTTCCTCCGCAACACGCATCTTATAATTGATTGGCATAATTATGCATGGACGATCCTCGCCTCTACCAAAGGTGACCATCACCCATTCATCAAGATTTCGAAAATGTACGAAGCTATAATGGGTAGGTGGGCCACAGCCTCGTTTACTGTGACAGATGCTATGGCCAAGCAGCTTCAAAATCAGCCATACAACATCCGTTCGCCGATATTTACTTTACATGATAGACCTGCTGCAATCTTTCAACCCATATCTGGCAATATAACCCGGCGCGCTTTCCTAGAAAGATTGCCAGAAACTGCAGAACATGCTGGAGCCATCATGACTGCCAAGACGCGGCTCCTGGTTAGTAGTACCTCCTGGACACCTGATGAGGATTTCAACCTTCTTCTCAAAGCTTTATGTGCCTACTCAGCATCTTCAAAACCACTGCCCCCAATTCTGGCAATCATCACCGGAAAAGGCCCTCAAAAACAAATGTATCTCGATCGAATCGCGGAACTCAACGCACAATCTAAGCTGAAAAACGTATATATCTTATCCGCATGGCTTAGCACCCAAGACTATGCCACATTATTAGCATGCGCAGATCTAGGTGTCTGTTTACATATGAGTAGCAGCGGTGTAGATCTCCCGATGAAAGTTGTGGACATGTTCGGGGCCGGTCTACCAGTCGTAGGATATGGGAATTACGCCAGCTGGGGAGAGTTGGTCCAGGAGGGTGTCAATGGACGTGGATTTGTGACGAGCGATGATCTCGCTGCCCATTTAACTCGACTCTTTGGTGATCCGGACGCAACGGAGCTCAAGGTGTTAAGAGAAGGGGCTGTGGTCGAGGGTGGAAGGAGATGGGACGATGAGTGGAACGGTGTTGCGGGTCGGTTACTTGGGCTTTGTGATTGAGAAAGTCATCCGTACATCCATACACACTTTGTCTCACGAGGTGGGAGACTCTGACCGGATCTAATGTAGACTCGTAGGTTAGATATACATGTTGTAAAAATGGACTCTTTTCTAGATTACCTGATACCTCGACTATGGCTGGGTGGGTAGTGCTTGTTTTCGAATATATATCCCTTGCATCCTCCATAATGTATCTCATGGGACCTAACGAATGAGATACTGCATGCAGGTGCCGGTTTACGGATACGCACCTACCCTCTTTCCTTCCTCTTCTTTTCCCTTTTCCGTTCTCTTTCTGGTGAAACTGTGATGCAATACAGTATGGTATCGAGTACTTGATTACGCGGATACCCTTCCCTTCCTTTTCATGATACGTTTCCTCGCTGCTCGCTCGTCTATTGCAGATGCAGGTTGCCTGGGTTGGGTTTGGAGGTTGACCGTGGGTTGTACGACCGTACTAGGTAGGTAGGCAGCGCAGGCAGGCTTTTGAAATAAGCGTGGTTTGTCTGTTTGTTTATAGGAAGATACTTTGGGGGAGGAAGGGGGGGAGTGTTGTTGGTTGGGTTGGGGGTTTATCACTTGGACTGTACCGTACTACTGCAAGCTGGCTGGGGGTTCTGGAGTTGAGTTGAGGCGGTTTATAGGAAGATACTTTGGGGGAGGAAGGGGACTCGTGTTATTAGTTGGAGTTCTGGGTTAGAGTGCTAATTTTACCTTTCTTTAGAGGAAAGAGAGGGGTAGGGGGGAAGGGCGGGTAGAGGTAAAACTAGAGGTAGGAGGTATAGTAGGTCTTAGTAGGGAGGTTAAAAGTAAAGATTAAAGAGTAAAGATAGGTAGCTAAGGGTAGAAAAAGTTAGAAATATACTTATTCTACTTTTTTATATTTATATTCGTTCTACTTATAAGTAAAGGGAGTATATAGATAAGACTAGCACCTAGGGTTTAGAGAGCCCTCGAGTACTAGTAAAAGCCTTACGAAGCCGCGAGGGAGTAAGTAAGTAAATAAAAGGTAGGTAAGCGGCTTTATAAAGCGAGTACTAGGTCTATATATATATATATAAAGAGAGAGAGAGGAGTAGAAAGTATAATTAGTATATAAAGGCAATATCTACCGCCTACCCTGTAATATATCCTCCTCTCCCATATTTATATAACAAGTATAGGAAAACCCTGTAGGCTAAAACCATCTCCGGAGAGTCTTTCTTACTTAGTAAAGTTATAAATATCTAGACTCGAATATCTATCGTTATTTTAGAATTCGCGAGTTACTTCCTCTCCTCCACCCTTCGAGACTAGCTGGCCAAACCCTTTACTGTTAGAATTGTAGTTTGAAATGTAGGGACAAGGTTGCGCCTCCTCCAGACCCGAGTAGAAGTATAGAGAGCGTTACTTAGGTTAGGAGGGATATTATACCTTAAAATAACAAGTATATATACCATACGTATCGCTCCTATAAGTAAACGTAGGTAAGTAATCGACACTTGGGAAGAACTAGAGTACCTAGCTAGTTTAAAGGGCAAATCGAATAGAGCTAAGAGAAGCAAAGTGCTAAGAACGAGAAAAGAGAGGCCTAGGGCTCTAGCATACACATCTACTCCAAGGGAAGGATATGTGAAGTTGTTAAAGGTTCCTGCCGCTAGCTCTTGTCGGTTGTATGTCTGTCCTCGCGTGATATAAAAACATCCCCTTTACCTCGCTTATTCCTAGCCCTTAATACAAGGGGGACAGGTTATTTTAGATGCTTGTGTTAACATTCACCTTGTTACTGTGTAGCTTCTAGTTTATCATGGCTTCGACCAAACCATTTGAAATGCTCATGAGTCAAGTCATGACTCCCATGCTAGAATCCCGCTTGACTCAAAACAAATCGGAGGTGAATGAACACAAGAGGATCGGAAGAGGATGTTATTGTGAGAGGCCAGACCTCGAATAGCTCAAAGGTGTGGTTTCGAATATTCAATTAAGAAGTGCGTGAAGACTACATACATGCGAGCTCTTCCTCTATATATAGAGAGGAAGAGCTTCCTGAATATTCCAAGAAACTTGCAAGAAACTTGAATGACGAATACATGATGTCAGAAGAACAAAACAAGAAAGTGTGGAAAAGTAGAAACCTGTTTGGCAGTGGGGTAATGGCCAGTGCTAAGCAGGGACTTTGGTCAGTGCTTAACGAGGACTTTGGTCGGTGCTTAGCGAGGGCATGGCCCGAGCCTCCATCATGGGTTCCAACCCTCACAGTTATAAATGATTCTTTAGGACCTGCATTTGTTGTGAGAAAAGACTCATAGATGTAGTTCATTCAAAGAGTCATCTTCGCGTATTCTGGAGCTTGTCGACTCACGACTAACAAGATGAAGCTACAAGAGCACCTCCAAGCTCTCCGCAAATTTCTTTGCACTCCAATCCTTACTTTGAAGCACATCATGAATTCCGACCACGCTACCTCCGAAAAGAACCCCGAGCTCACAGCAGCTCATGCGGACATCCGCTCTGAGTACGAGTCCAACCATTGTATGTTCGAAAGAGAAATTATTCAAGATGTCGGCATGCAGCTCAAGAGACTGAACGGGCAGAGTGGCACCGTCATTTTAACAGACATCAAATCAAAGACGATCGAGCACGAGGCGAAAGTTGGCATCGTAACCTCGCCCTCGAACAAATATCCCTCACACGGCGAAATTCGGTACGTTTCCCTTCCTTTCCTATCTTTAATCAGCGTGCTTACCAGTTCTTAGAACTACCCCTGGCATCCGTTACCGTCCTATCCAGAGCCTCCTCACAGACAAAGACATACCAGCAGGACTCGCATATCACTCCCTTGAAGTTTTGCAGTATCACCACTACTACGACAAATCCACGAACAAAGCCTTGGATCCCACAACTCTCGAGCCCCTGAAAGTAAATTCCACCCAATCACTCAAAGAAACGCGAAAGCTTTTCAAGTCCTACCAACAAACGTGGAAGACCACCCAAACATACGCACTTCTCAAAGAAAAGGTCGAAAAAGGAGAACTCCGTGATATCAAAAAGATTGTATCTTTCGGACTTGGTACGATGAGGTAAGACATGGACCAATTCAATCCACGCTCACTGTATCAGCACGCCTTACTCTCCACCTTGCGAAAAGTGCTGGACAAGAATAAGGAGAAGTACACGTACGAGGTTTTGTGCTATGCGCAGGATCCGGCTTATGATAATGTTGATAAGGTTCTTCTAGAAGAGAATGAGATTAAAGTCCTTGATGACCCGGAGGGATTTCTGGAGGTTGGGGATCATACTATTGTGGTTTCGTTCTGCGCCGATGTGTGTGTGAAGCAGATTATCTTGGACATCGCTTGTCCGGCGGCAATTATATCTGATCGATTTATTAATCACCCTGATGACTCTCCTACCTTGATGAAAGTACCTTGTTCCGTCTGCTTCCCGTCGAGATATACAGGTTTGTTGCGTCGGCTGACCTTCACTAGCAAAGAACCGGGCTCCTCGCGTACGGCGAAGATCATCTCGGATGAATACGATATCCATGAATTCCCGGATTGCACGGAAAATTTCACGGATGGGGTTTTGTATATTAGACGGGAGTCGGCGAAGTCGCTTCAGGAGAGACGTAAGCAAGGGCTATGGTATTATAACCCGATCGATGGGACAAGAAATACAAACTGAAGCTACCGGTATGTCGACTCTTTCAGCATGGTTTCCTGAAGACTGGCGAGCTAGATGGTGTAGAATAGAATACTACTTAAAATACTAGAGCAATAGACTTTTTCATTTACAAATACTTTTTGAATTTTAATATCGCTTAATTTGGATCAGTTTCTTTTTATAGATGATTATCCCTAATTATACTTAGATTTTAGAATCTGGGAATAATTATCCTAGATAGAGTTATTATATTCGATATGTATGTTAGAGCTGGAGTGACTACCTCCTGGAACGTCGTTTAGTAGTACATAGTACAAATTAACAAGGTGTATACTTCTTCTATTAGGAAGATTTTGACTCAAGATTTAAATAGAACTCAACTCCGATTAGATACGTAAAGTAAAATTATTTCTATATTAGGAGGGCTTATCTTGGGCTCCAAGTTCTAATCTGGCGGCGCAGATCTAATAATCGTCGAATCCAAGGTGGAAATCTTAGTAACGAACGTCTATCGCTAATACCGTACTACTTGAGTTAATTATTAGAGAGTGAGAGTAAACAATTTCGTAACTCCAGAGGCAGATGAAAAGAAAGAGTCAGGAAGTCAGCTCTTATTATTATTTAGATATTTCAAGGTAGAAAAGGGACTCGCGCTTACGTTAGCCGTAGCAAGTATATCTAGCTTAAGCTATTCTGGACGATCCCTGGAAGGAGAATTAAAATAAATAGACGAGTGATTTTTCACGTAAAGCTAACAGAAGGAGAGACAAGTATAATTGAACGCGGGCAAGTATAATACTCTAAACGTCGCCTTAACAGAAGACAGTCCGCGATCAATGATCAATGATTAATAAATGCGAATGGTTTAAATACGTCTGACTCGAATGATATATATAGCGAATAGACAATTCAGATGACGAATGCGAATGCGTATGAACAAATGTAGATGTCTAACGACGCTTGTTATTCAAAACGATTTATAAGGATCTTACAAGTTGTAAAGACCTCGAATAATTAGGACAAGGTCTCTTGATTTGAAAATATAAGATAGATAGCAAAGGCCCACCAGGTTCTCTGCATACAAAGTTGGGTGCTCTTATACCTATGGCTGCTACTCGGCTAGTTAGGCGAGCTAGCGATATGATAATGTGACAGAACCGTCACAACCACTTTCCTATCATCTTATCCATAGCCGTTCCCATAAGCAGCACCGGCATTAACATATCTGCAGTTTTGAGACCACTATTGAAAACCCACCATTAATAAACTTTGTGTTTTTTTCAGAGAGGAGAAGCACCTACAGTAGTTGTATCAATCTCTGATTTTGGGCTTTCGCAGATGTCTTTGTAAATACAATCACTGCATTTTTCCACATCACGGATCCTCTGACATGCCTTGTACGTTGCTAAATCATTCCTCGTGGTCTAGACAATATGTTAGACATCATTAACTTTCTGTCGAAGACTAGAAGTGAATCATGATTACTAGTGTAAGCAAACATATTTATAACTTACATCGGATTTGAAGCACGTTGCATGCGCCCAGCCAAGGCCCAGTACATCGGTGGTTAAGAACCCAACGACAAGGAGTATGTAATGGAGTTGCGTGTTATCGAAGAAAGATATATTGTTTCTAAGAAGGCAGCGGTGTTCTTGATAAGGTTGAAATGTCCTTGATGAAGGCTTGAGTTGCAGATATTAGTGTGTAGAGGAAAGAGGGAAGGCTAGCAAATATATGTGTCCATCGAGCCTTTCATTTTCATGTGAGCTCGAAGCGACATGATTAGCGCATTGCCACGTTACTTGACAGACCTTATTATTATTTGGATCATGCTTAATAGGTTTACTCTTAACCTCGTAAATAGAAGTTATTTCTGATAGCTTCATGCACTACCAGTATACTTCGTCTCAGGCGAAAAGATTATAACCTTCCCAGTGGTTTTTACCCTGTTACCAATCTTAGTCACCGTCCGGAGGCAACATTTATTTCGCCTGGGACTAAGCAAAACTTGTATCGCAGAGTTACCATGAGCATGTAACACAACAAAGTTTACGATTAACGATTAACGTTCATTTGAGGAGAAGGACTTAACTGGGGTTTTGTAAACAACAGATGCCCTTGATGCAAAATCGATTCACGGACCGATTGTATACTAATATCCTAGATCTCTTAGTTTAAAAAAACAAAACCTACAAACAAACGTTGTGTACCATTCTTGGAGTAAGACACTTAGGGCGATTAAAGAGTAGATACCTAGCTTTGCTGTGTGTTCATCTGTGACTGACTGTGCTAGCTTTGTGAAGAAGTTAAGTTTCCAAATAACTACTTCGTCCCAGGCGAAATAATTAAAGGGTTTTCAGGGGTTTTTACCCTATTGGCAACCTTAGCCACCCTAGCAAATCTACAATTATTTCGCCTGGGGCGAGCTGGGGCGAAGTAACAATTGCTTACAAATTTCAGATCTCGGTCAAGCTATTGCTCTATGCTTGTTATACAGAGACATCCACCGGGGCTACAGTATACTATACATGCCGGAGCCTGAATCACCGCCCACGTCTAATATTAAAGTTTTTGGCAAAGGACCGAAAACATGACAAGTCCTCGTACTTCGTCTTAGGAAAAATAAATGTAAGCTTTCTAGAGTGGCTAAGGTTGGTAGCAGGATACAGTATGAACCCCTGGAAACCCTATGTTTATTCTGCATGGGACGAAGTAAAGCTGTCAGAAGAATACGTGGATAAGATGTCAATTTTCTATCCATCGAATTACCTAGTTCCGGAGGGCGCCCAAAATTCGATTACTAGCCACGTAACTGTAGCCATCCTTGTGATCCCTGTGACCGTCTTCCGCTTTGTTAAAAATGGAGAGCACCTTTCTACAGACAGCGATTTTGATGTTCTAACGGCCTCTTCCGCTTAGAAGAATCCGGAATATCAATCTAGGGTTTACTGGATAAATTAAAGTTTTGTACTCTATACGAGTCATAACTCGTAACAAACCCAATTAGCGCGTACATAGAACGAAAAGTAAGTATTACTCCGACTAAATCTCGTGTGATTCGTAATATCCTATCTGAAAAGTGAAAACAGACACAGCCCTTTCCAATATATTTCCGTGTCTAAATCTATAACTCGCTTATTCCACCTAACCTAAGCACTACTACTTTATCTACTAGTCTATCTACTACTATATATATATATGAGGATCTCATTATATATAAATTATAAAACATCTTCTTCAGAGACGTCCTATACGTAATAGACGTATAGAAACTATATAGTCGAATTTAATATAAGCTTTAATCTGTGAATTTGTCGACTTTTGTAGAATCTATATATATTAGGTAGTAACCATACTAAAAAATAATGGTTTTTAAAATATTTATTAAATATATATATAAAGTAATTTATCTTATTCTTAAAGTCTTTAATATTAAATATACTATATAATACTTAAAATAGTACTAAACCTCCTACTAGAATACTACTAAAAAAAGTCGTAAAACTATAGTAGAACCTTTCGTAAAGCCTCTACTTGTGACCGTGTGGAGTGAACCACTGCTTGCTGTGACTGTTACGGAGTTGGAGGAATTGGGGGCAGATCACGTGTAGCAGCACAGCACGTGCGTGCTGCTGGCAGCCTGTATATAAGCTTCTGTTCCTCTGGAACTCTCTTCCTTCCTCACTTAGTTGTTCGCTCTATATAGCAGTTTCCGTTTGACTCCGTATTCATCACAGCAAGCAGTGGTTCACTCCACACGGTCACATTACAACTAAGTCACCTCTTCGCCTGGGAAGGCCTGTTATAATATCCCACCTTGTTTATTTGTTTTCGGCTGACGATACTCGACTCGACGGATTTCCGAATCGACATTATCCTCAGTAACACCACGTTATACATCACTGAACGCAGTGTGCGTTATATGTCCCTGAACGATGGTATCACCAAACCCCCCAAATGCTCGCGCTGGACGACGAGGGAGAGGAAGAGGCAGAGCCTCTACCCCTCGTACGCCAACCGCTGGAGCCTCAATTACCGTCCAGACAATGGACGANCCTCTGGAACTCTCTTCCTTCCTCACTTAGTTGTTCGCTCTATATAGCAGTTTCCGTTTGACTCCGTATTCATCACAGCAAGCAGTGGTTCACTCCACACGGTCACATTACAACTAAGTCACCTCTTCGCCTGGGAAGGCCTGTTATAATATCCCACCTTGTTTATTTGTTTTCGGCTGACGATACTCGACTCGACGGATTTCCGAATCGACATTATCCTCAGTAACACCACGTTATACATCACTGAACGCAGTGTGCGTTATATGTCCCTGAACGATGGTATCACCAAACCCCCCAAATGCTCGCGCTGGACGACGAGGGAGAGGAAGAGGCAGAGCCTCTACCCCTCGTACGCCAACCGCTGGAGCCTCAATTACCGTCCAGACAATGGACGATGAATCCCTTGCTCTCGAAGAGCAATTCCAGGAGCAGCAGCAACGCAGCCGAAGCTCCCCTCTCTCGCCAGCACCGATCACTCCTACGCAGTACAAGCAGATCATGGCCAAACTCGATTCTCTTGTCCAAGAGAATGCTCAACTCCATACAGCTTTACGAACGCACAACGCGGCTTCTCCGGATGACGCTATTCCCACTATTGAAAAAGGCAGAGCAACTACCGGAGGCAAACGCACTCGTCAACCCAGGGCAAACTCTTCTTCGAGTTCNTTCTCCGGATGACGCTATTCCCACTATTGAAAAAGGCAGAGCAACTACCGGAGGCAAACGCACTCGTCAACCCAGGGCAAACTCTTCTTCGAGTTCCACCAGTCGGAATATAAAGCTCTCCCCCAAAGTCAAGGATGTTCCTCTGCTTGATGATGGTGTCAGCCCGTCTCTCGTCCAATGGCAGGTCTTGCTCAAAAGCAAACTTGTAGCAAACACGGATCACTTCGCTTCCGAACACGAAAAAATGACGCATGTGTTTGCTTGTACAACTGGCAAGGCAGCAACCTTGCTTGAGACCGC